GTAGTGGTACTCTGCCTTTAGGATTTCGTAAAACGTAACCTATCCACTCTAAAGGTTTCTTATGTCGTATATTAGTTTTCAATAAAGAAAATTTTTGTTCAAAGGAGTACCATAAACCTTATTATAACAAAATGTTTTTGTTGATATATTTTAGAGGATATAGACCTTTTCACGCTGTAATAGAACATATTTCCCACTTGTAATATTCATCACTGTGCCACTGCAAGTAGTCGTGGAAATATTTGTACGAGTAGTTATATTCGATTTTTATTTCTCCCAAAACCTCATAATATTATAAACTTTTCTGTATATATCGCACTATTTGTCCGTTTCTTCTGACATTTGTTTTTATAGAACCACTGACAAATATATTTATATCTTTGTCTACGTGGCGTCTATTTTTTCTAGTAAAAAATATTGACAAAATGAAACAAATCTTCTAAACTTCAATTTATATCTCTCTAAGCATCATTCCACCACTCGCACTTATATCACCTTTCTATGAAATATTTATAGATGCAGATTATCCAAATATATTAAATAAAACTTTTTTAAATATTTTCGCATCACTTACTGAAAAACTGAGTTCATATTAATGAATAATGATTTCCCATTTTTTAATGAAAAATACCGAAGAATATTTGCTTCTTTATGGGTTCCCTATTAAACAAATGAACTGAAGATGCAGAACTAAATAATAGCTCTCAGAATGAGATAAAACAGTTTTGATCTTAATTATTATGAAAAGTTTAAACATTTTCAAAATAAATAAATTTGTATGTGAACTGTAAGTAAATACAGACGCACGTCTGAACTAATTATGGAAACTTTGTGTTCGCATTTTATTCATTCAGTGGATTTGTGTATAAATCAGCGAATCTCGGATAGAAATAAATACTGAATACCGAATGAATGAGGTATTTGGCAGCTCTTGCAAAAATAAAATACAATATTTACATATCTTTCTATTTAAGTTAGTCTTATATTAATTTATTATAAGCTCTTACTTTACATTTCAGTTATTGTAAAATAAGTCGAGTCCATTAAAATCCACAATCGCAAAAACAAAACAATACCAGACCCCCTATATAACCACAGGGAGAAAGTTTCAAATGGAAACGAAAATCGAACATTTCCCGCACCTTTTTTCTGCATAGTCGTAAAATTTGTACGAGGGTTACTGTTTATATTTTGAGGCTAATAATGAAAAAATACAAACTTGTCTCTGAAAATTCCTTTATTGTTTCTCGAAGTATTCTCATTTATGATTAATACACTTTGACATGCGTTCGAACCAACTGTCAAAGCATTTCTCCAATCATCTTCAGACACCTCCAAAACATGATTTTTACATGCAACAATGGCTTCTTCCGTCGACATAAATCGTTGTCCACACAATTTACAACTATTCTTGACGTTCGGGAACAAGAAGAAAAAATTAGGTGCCAAATCAGAACTGTACGGTTGAAAATCCATCAATTCGATGCATAACTATTTGAATATTCAAACAGCCAGTTGTTAGACGAGATGTGTGAGCACTCGCATTGTCTTAATGGAGATGGAGAATGATCTGACGGCGCTTGTTTACGTTCCTGTAATGGTATAATTGCCACATGACCAGTTTTCCTAACAACTTTTATTAGATTTGGTTCATCATAAAACACTCATACAGTCATACAGTGGACTGCTGTTAACGTTCCGACTCATACGCATATATCCATGTTCGTCTCCTGTTACAATCCTATATACTCGTACGTCTTTTGAAGCGCCACCATTGTACTTCTTGAGCATTTATGTTCACGGTCCACCAATCGACACGAGCATCTTTTTGAGATCCTCATTTTGTCAAATGATGGGGGATCCAACGAGATCAAACCTTTCTCACTGCTAAATAATCGTGCAATATTTTATACGGATATATGCTAATGGAACTAATGCGATCTTGCATTATTAGTTTTTGTACACCATCAATGTTTTGTTGGTACAAGAACTGAAGAATTGATTTTGGATGACCTTCACGAATTTCGTCGTTTTGGCAGTGAGCGAATTGCGAACTGCGGTCACGATGAAAATCATTGTACCAGCGTTTCACAATGACGAAGGATGGATCAAGTAAGTTGATTGATACACCTTTGTCTTGATAATCCACGTCGATAGTCGCTAGTCGATATAAGTCATCGCGCGAAAATTTTCTAGGGTTATACTTTTTTTCATAGGAAAAGATATTCCAAGTGTTGTTGTGTGGATGTTTCTTATAATTTTAAGTTTTTAATCCATTCCATATTATATTGTCTGTGATGGCAGCCAAATCCTTGAGACTATACTAACCTATAAAACTGCAGATAAATGGGATTTGCATGGTAATTATAGAAATATACTGAACTCGACGACAGATAATCAAGCAAGTGGTAATTAATTTATGTAAAAATATTTCATAAAGTGGTTCAATAAATGGTTTCCATTATTATTTGCACTAATCTATTCCCTATAATTGGTTCACATGATGAATCTTTTATTACACCTCATTATAACAAGAATAATTCATCAAAAACTTTAATAAAAATCTATAAAATTAAATTAAGAATGGAAGAGATTTTACTAAACCCACACCACATAGTAACGACAATTATAGGCTTTATTACAAAAAAAAAAAGAATAAATTTCTTATTCAACGCCTCTGATTAAATACAGCAAATTTCACGGTCTAAAAGCCAGTAGAATAAGTATTTTAGATCGTCGGCCGGGTGATACGTTTATATATAGGTACAATCCTTTTGGATGGCTTCTACGTCCACAATATGTTATATTTTAATAGGGAAAAACATTTATCTCAAAAAGGTCATCCTTTTTACGGTTTCAAATATATATACCATATATAATTGCCAATAAATTATGTCTCTGCAAGTACTTTCGACAGCTCCACAGATGCCATGCAATTGCAAATAGAAATAGAGTCACAAATCTTTCTGCTATAGCTTACTTCCCATCAATATTATCTGCAGTACTTTATCCCAAACTCAAGACTTTCCAGATAAAGCAATTTTTTTTAAACTCTTCTAATTGATCTCTTAAATAATTTCTATATTAATAGTGGACTATTATTTCTGAATATGAAAATATAACCTGTTATACATAGTAATTTAATTTTGCATTTTTTATTCAGTAGTTTTTAATTTAATTATTTTTCATTAATGTGTAATTTCTTATCTTAATTTTACACTCATTACTTAATGTTTTATTTGTCATTTATCTTATAAAGAACAAAGTAAAAATATCTGATTTGTTTCTCAAAACAGTCATATATCAATATCTGCAAGTATAAACTCGTTAACGTGTTTTTTCAATCTGTGAAGCAATGACACACCTCGACTCTATTCAGATGATTACGGTGACTAAGCTTTTATTCACTCAGATACAAAGTTTCATGCTTAGAGAGTATAAACAACCATATAAACATAAATTGATTAATTGCAATGACTCATTACCAATTACACTTCTGTTGAAACAGATGGTAATCACTTGGTATCAGATCTGGACTTTAAGTTGCTTGCATGACAAACTTTCCAACCAAGCTCTCGGAGCTTTTAGCGTATATTGCTATTACTGATGGAACACAATTCCTTTCCTATTGCGTAAAGCTGACCGTTTCTGGGCGATTTCTTCTTTTAGACGGTCCAATTGTTTACTGCACAGTTCCGAGTTGAGTTTTGCCATAGGAGACCAGCTCATAATACATGATTCCTTGCCGTTTCAACCGGCTCACCGTGATTAAACCACGACCGTCTTCATTTGACGTTATCGTAAGTGGTCCACTTTTCATCACTAATTACCAACCGCTTTAGAAATGGGTCGATTTTGTTGTGATTTAACAGCGATTCGCAAATGGAAATTAGGTCTATGAGGTTATTTTGCGTTAACTCATATGACACCCATTCAACGAGCTTCTTTTTGTATCTAGTCTTATTCAAATGGACTAAATCGTTCCAAATGATTTTTTGTGCAATCTTTAGCTCTTGACCAATTGAAACAGTGCTTTCATGATGGTCAGACTTGACAATTTTCACGCTTTTTTCGGAATTTTCGACAATTGTTCTCCAAGTGCGTGGTGCAACTTTGACATCGAAGTTACCGGAACGAAATCGACGAAACCAAAATTGCGCAGGATTGGATGTTACAATATCAAGATCATAAACACTATTCACTATTAGCATTTTCAGCCGCTTGGCTTGGGTTTTCGCTTTTGCCAAAGAATATAAATTTGAATATAAAATTTATATACCCCCCTATTCTAAATACTCCTATGGAATAAGTCTCCCTATTCCTACGCGATTTCCACAAATAGAAGTTTCGTTTTTTGAATTGCTTGGGAACAACAGAAATTTTGAAAGCATTTGCAATTTCTAATGGCGAAAAGTACGAAAATGAGAATAACAAAGATGCAATATTTTACCTGCGCATAATTAAAAAAAATTATATTAAACTTATTCAAGGAATCTCATTCATTCTAAAATTTGGGTTCCATTGATTATTCCATTGTTTTAAATAACAATAGTTAACGCTTTAATTTATGGAAAAAATCCGTGTGGATAAAATAAATAAATATATTAAATAAAAATAATAAAAATTTAAATATATTAAATACATATTAATATATTGAATATTAAAAAAATATAGGTATTGAAATATATAACTATCCACCTGCATATATAATGTGATGTTTTCTTATGGCTAGTACAAAAAATAAGACATAACACTATCCTAAACTAATCGAACAGATTGCAGAATCTAATAGAATAAATTATTCTGTCATTGAATAATTTGTATTAGTTTCTAATTGAGACACACAAAATATTCAATAAATTTTAGAACTGCCTATTTCTTTACTGATAACTATTCGAAAGGGAATGAACATAGAATAACTGTGGAAGTATTTAATTGAAATACATTCCATCTTGGATTTGCAAATGTCAAACAATTATATAACAATAATTTAATTAACAGTTTAATTTATTTGTAAAAACATAGAAATTAATACTTAAAAGACTTGAACAACGTACGAATTAATTGGAAAAAATAGTTTCAAATAAATTAATTTTAAAAAACCAATTCAAAGAACAATAATAATAATGAAGCAATTCAACGGTGGGTAGATTAACAATATTTGGTTTTTTTATTTTAGCACTTTAGGCAGCATATCGTAACGTTATTCACCTTTTAAGCATTAAAATACAGTTATGATCTAAAGAAGTAAATTGATTAAAAAGTGTAGCCCCCTTCGGGCTTATTTTGATTAGAACTAAATTGAAGTTTTCCATCTACTTCCTGTGGTGCGAACTCAGACTCAGGATCATCATCGCCATTACTGAAGTAAGCATCGATAAGAGCAAAAGCCTTTTTGTAAACATCCTCGTTTTCATGTTCCTGCAAGGCCTCTAATTTATCTAAACCGCCAATCTCCTCGAAAATGAGACAAATACTTTCCAAATTGCCGACTCTTTCAGCTAGTGCAAATATGTTGCTAAGTCCAGCAAGAACAACCTTAACAGTGCGAGCATCTTTTGTATTAAGCAAACCAGTAAATGGTTGCAACAAACTATATTTCTCCAACAAATCTATAATCTGTTCAGGTGATCCACTTGTAGTAGTATTTGTTACAGCCCAAGCAGCCTCTTTTTGAGACTTAAAGTCACCGCGTTCCAATACATGGCGGATGCAATTAAATAAATCTAAATAGAATACGAATTTTAAGCAAAAAAGAATTGGATTTAGCCATTTTGTACTTACTGGCATCTAAAACTGCTTGGATTTGCTTTTGATTTCCAGCTGTTATATTACTAACAGTCCAAGCGGCCTCCTTTACAATATTGCTTTTGTTATGACGTAACAAAGCAGCTAACTTTGGCAAACCACCAGCTTCAATTACATGATCGGTCTAAAAATATAAAAGACAAACATATAATTCAATAAATAAATATATAAATAATAAATCAATAAATAATAAAAAGTAAATGAATATATAATAAAAAGTAAATTAATATATAATAAAAACCAAATTTTCAAATAACAAATAAAAAAACAAATAAATAAAAAAATAAATAATTCTAAATAATAAATACACAATTAATAAATTCTAAATAGTAAATAATAATGATATTAGTTATTAAAATTTAAATATAATTTTTAATAAATTATAAATAAATAATAACCTTATTTCTATAATAAATTCAAATAATTCATAAATAAATAAAAATTAAATTAATATATAATAAAAATTAAATTAATATATAATAAAAATTAAATTAAAATAATTAAACAATTAACACATAAAATTATAAAAAAATCACATTAAAAAAACAATTAATAATAATTATAAATAATAAATACACAATTAAAAAGCTGTAAACAATTAATATTAATAATATTAAATGATAATATTTAATGAATTATTAATAATCAAATTAAAAATAATTTAAAAATAAATAATAATAACAAATAAACTAATAAAAAATAAACAATAATAATAACAAATAAAAAAAAATACAAAATAAATATCAAATAAAAATTAGCTGATATATAAACAAAATAACAATAAGAAACTATAATATATAATAAGTACTAAAATAAACACATATATAATAAATAATAAAAAAAATTAAAAAAATAAAAAAATAAACAGTAAGTAAATGAATTATATGTAAAGTGATAAATAAGATATAAATAAATAAATAAGATATAAATAAATAAATAAGATATAAATAAATAAATAAGATCTAAATAAGATATAAATAAATAAATAAGATATAAATAAATAAATAAGATATAAATAAATAAATAAGATCTAAATAAGATATAAATAAATAAATAAGATATAAATAAATAAATAAGATATAAATAAATAAATAAGATCTAAATAAGATATAAATAAATAAATAAGATATAAATAAATAAATAAGATATAAATAAATAAATAAGATCTAAATAAGATATAAATAAATAAATAAGATATAAATAAATAAATAAGATATAAATAAATAAATAAGATCTAAATAAGATATAAATAAATAAATAAGATATAAATAAATAAATAAGATCTAAATAAGATATAAATAAATAAATAAGAAAAAAATAAAGGTATACAATGCCGATTTCTACATAAAAGATAGAATTTATAATAAAAAAAACAAAGAAATCCTATACTATACCAATAGAAACAGAAAATGTGCAACAATTGCAGTAGTGAAATAACAACAGAACCATGACTAATGACTAAATATGCAGCAAAATACGTAGCTTCCAAGAACGGCCAGGTCTACGCCCCAGAACCACTTGTCAACCACGACGACCAAGTGTATGATAGTTCACTACCCCTAAAGGAACTTTACAACCAAATATGTAAATGATCTTGTATATATTGCAAAAACTGAAAAATTAAATGCAACTTTAAAAATGGCTTTCTAAATGACTTTCATAAAAATTTAAATTTTACTGTCTAACAATCCCAAGTACATACTTTCTAACACTTGCACAAATTTGAACTAAGTGATGCCAGATTTCACATGATATTAATGTACACAATGTACTATACGAGTAACATATTAAAAAGTAAAGACTTTTCCAACAAAATGATCAACCAAATAATTAAGAATACTTAATGAAAACCCAATGTCTTTGGTCATTGACAAACTGACAAAATTTACAAATCCATTCCCTACATATTCAAAATTAACCTCAAATCAAATCATTAACTTTAGTTCTTTTAACAAAGCAAAACTCAAAATAACAAATATACAACAATAAATAAAAACACATATACTGCAATGCAACGAACAAAGTTGACAATTCAGAAAACCTAATTTAGGCAACTTTAGGTTATACAGCTGATCCAAATGATTCAGTTTATTAAACCTAAACCTTTAGCAAAGCCTAATATGCTCTTGAAAAGAAAGTCTTGAAGCTGACAAAGATCCTAAAAAAAATATATAACTCTATCAAAAGTAGTTAGGCTGCAAAAACTGCCGGGTTTACGTTAAGGAGCCACTTGCCAATCTCGACGACTAAGTGTCATTCATCATCACCTAAAGGGACTTTGCAAGCAGATTTCCACAGGCCACAACAACATTGAACGGAAAATTCAATATTTTACCATGGTTCCCTAATCGGTTATGACCCATTAAAAAACTTACCGCAAGACTGATATCTTTACGGGACATCTCGATGAGCACGCTGGATATTTTCTTAATAGAACACGGTCAATTTGTATATAGATGCCGGTATAGTGTTTTGTCTTCCCATCTCTTATTAACAGTTCAGCATAAAAATAATTCAAGAACTGGTTTGAAACAACCTAATTTTGTATACCAAATTCACTACGAAAAATAACCGTAATAGAATTACGTACCAAAGCAACAACAGGTCAGATTTAGGTCTTGTCAAGGTCGCTTGGCGATAAGTTGGTACCTCATACTAATCTGTTACTCCCTAAACAAATTATCTTTAGTGAAGCGAATTGCAATCGTGGCCAGATCACCCATTCACATGTCAAACAACTAAAAAGAAGATTAATTTAGTAATCCAGCTGAAGAAAACCAGTTATAGTATCCGATACTTGATACTTTTTCAATATGAATTGATAAAAATATTCTTCACAGTGAACACAATTATATAAAAACTAATCTTACACATTTGTAAAGTGTAAAATCCTAAGTCAATCAACAATCTGCTTTTCTGCTTTTCACAAAGAAATAACTATATATGCGTAATTTTTAGAACCAATAAATATTTTTCTAAGAATCAGTTACATCAGCCATGCCGAAATAAGATCCAACAGATGTCTTATAAGCACATGCTGCGGAGAACGACTTCTTACTGCTAGTACAAACCAATTTTCATTCTCAATTATCATCAGTCATCTACTTCTTGTAGCTAGAACAAGAAACAGAACCTAATAACAGCGGAACGGCAGAAAGTATCAAAAGTGACAAAAGTGAACTAAATGCAACTACACCTCTCTTTTGTGTTTTTCTTCTATATTCCAGGAACAGTAAAACTATGGGAAGTATCGTAAGTAACATGGATTCAATGGAACCACACTCCCCCCTTTTGTGTTTATCTTCTATTCGTGAGGTGTTTTCTAGGAATAGCGGAACTACCGCGTTAAAAGTGCTACAAAAAAACTGAGTTAATTTCTAAATTAAACACATTTGGGTTAATAATAAGCGTAAGTGCATTACATTTGCACACCAAAATCAAATATTAATGTTTAAGCACAAAGGCTCTTTGCTAAAATTTCGAAAATAGCACCTTTAAACGGATACTACTTCAAAGGCGGGAAGAGCTTCGTAAATATATAATCTTTGACATATTTATTTTCCATTTGTGATATGAAATCTTAACTATGCCGCACTTCACACATCCAAATAAATGCATTTGAATTGGAATGCAAATTTGATGCACTAACCACGACTCTACCTCAAGTGTGAGGTGGTGCTAAGAGGTCAGGCAGGAGAAATTGCAATGCAAGAAAAACAAATTTTTCGTTTTTCATTTTTTTGCTTTTGAAATATGAAGTCAATATTAGCGGTGCTATAACTTCTTTTAAAGTATAAAGCTAACAATAAATGGTAAAAGTAAAATGCATACGAACATTGCTGGAGACGAAATATATGTGACCAGCAGCACAAAAATTAGGAGTTAAGCTTATATACAAAATTAAAACTATAAATTTGCTATATTATCACAGCAAACAACTGTGAAATATCGCAACTATAATTTAGTTAAACAAATTTATTATTTAAATTACCTGGGAATCTGTGCCAGTAACGATGTTGCCAACAGTACGGAGTGCTGGCACAATAATACTGGGCTCTTCAGATGCCAGCATTGTAACGAGGCGTGGCACGGCACCGGTCTCAACTACAGCTTGAATCTTGTAATTTTCGTCATCGGTGACATACGACAAAGCCCAACAAGCATCAGCCAAAACTTGCATATCATTGGTGCACAATAACTGCGACAACATTGGCAACAAAATTTGAATTTGACCGAATGGTGGCGATGGATTCTTATTGCGGCACAAGTTTGACATCAGCCAGACAATATTACGTAAGAAGGACAATGGTGTATCCATGGTTATCAACTGTAAAATACCAGGTATGACGTTGTGGTTGATAACAATATCACGAGCCAAAGCACCATCACCGGCAATATTACCAAGAGCCCAAACAGCTTGCTCAGCAAGATTAATTGATTTCGATTGTAGCAAGGCGACAAAATGTGGTACGGCATCATGATCAATTACACAGCGCGTTTGTTCAGACGTACCAGATGCGATATTGGTCAGAGCCCAAGCTGCTTCAAATTGCAACATAGAACTGAAAATGTACAATATATTAAAAATAGATTACAGAATAATTTTGAATTATATACTGACTTGGAAGTATCTTGCAAAAAGTTAATGCATATTGGTACGATACCATGGCCGATCATAATATCAATGGGTGGATGACGTTCACGGCTAAGCATTTTTCGAGCTGACTGCATACCAATGAATTGTTGCTCCTTGTCTTCCGAACGCATTGCGCGTACAATTTCCTCAACAGTCATTTGAATTGGTGACTGTCCAGTGTTCTCCTTAAGTGGAGAAACGACTTCGTCTTCATTGATGTTGCGACGTTTGAACAGCTGATCCTCTTTCTTAGATTTACGCAACTCAATGGTCACTTCATGACGACGATGACGCGATTCCTAACATAAAAACAAAATCATTTCTATTTATCGCACAAATTGCCCAAGCCAAACACTATGTACATACCTGAGTGTTAATGGTGTTACTCTTATAGGAACCCTGACGATTGGAGTCTGCTTTGCTCATTTTGATGGAACAAAATTAAACACTGTAAATGATAAAAATTACAAATTATATTAGCTCGAGCAGTTGTTGAAGTCTTTGCAAGGAACGCTTATTATGCTATAAGACATTGGCTTCACCAAGATTTTTTATATTGAAATCTACACAGTACATAGGATGTGCTACCGCCAAACGACAAATAAAAAATGAAAGCTGCAATAGCAGATGTTTTTAGCAATACAAGTATTAAGTATTATTATTTAATTCCACGAAAATTAATAAAATAAACACATGTTTGTGCAGCTCGCAAATTCCTTCATATGCAAATGGAGGAACCAGCCAACCACGCTGCAATTCGTTTTGCCTTACAATATACAAATTGATTTTAAATTTCATAAATTACTAATTTCATTAACGAAAAAAAACGAACCAAACACAATTGATACACAAAGCATCCTTTGACCTGCGTGCGCCCGGTCCTCCACGCGTGCGCCCGGCTCACAGCTGAGATTAGCCAGGTAGACAGAAGCGCCAGGTGCACTTGCATTTCAGGATGTGGCTAAACATATATGGCAATTTGAGCAGTTCAGTTTAATAAAACAGTTAGCTTTAAGTTAAAAATTATTCACATTAATATAATTAATTTCTTATGCCGTTAGTCGCTACAGTTAAAATGTTAAAATGTCAAAAACAACAACAACAAAATACTAAATATGGCCATTTTAGTTTTCCGCTAAGTAACAGGACGAATGTTGCACGATCTCGAATTTGATATATAATTCCTTTAAATCTGTTATTGGAATTATGTATACTAATTAGCAGACGTACGTGAAGCATGTAATGAAATTCTTTTATCAATTTTACTAAATACTTCCACAAAAAATATTTCTTAAAAATCAGCAATAACTGCGACAAGATGCAATTGGACGCTATTCGCATTATATTTATTGAATTTCAGATATTTCTATAATATTTAATAAGTACAACAAGTAAATAATCGTCTAAATATTACTCACCCTTCAATTCAATGAACTCAAACACAAATTTAATCAAAAACTAATAACCACTATTGCAGGTCACAAATCAACGCAACCAATTGCACCGAACACAACAGAGCACTTCGTTCTTCGGCGGCAAATACCGTTTAAATTTGAAATCTCTTCGCTATGCCTCGTTTTTGCTGTCAGTGTTTGTAGACTTTTTTACACTAACAAAATACCAAAGGCAACAGGGAAAATAAGCCGGTTTCTTCGATTGTACCCGTCTATCATTTTACGCTTGCGTGAGTGAAATAAAGCGATACTTTCGTTTCTTGAGTGAAACACACTAGTTTTCTAAAGCCTTTGTTCAGAGTTGCTCACTACTTTGAACTCAGAGCTGTAATTTAAAATAATAATATTTAATAATTTGTTTGTTTTATATTCATATCGCGAACACTTCAATTTAATAAACATATATAATTTCATAATTAATTGATTAAAAATCAATTTAAAAAAACAATTTTCATTAATTAATTGTAAAATTATTAACAACAGTAATTCAATTTAATTGTTTACACATTTATATATAAATTTATAAATTAAATTGCACGTTTTACATATTAGACTTATAAATGCATTTGAATTCAGTATATAATCAGAATTGAAATTTACTCTAAGGACCATCTTAGGCCATCTTAAGTAGTCAAATGATTGTAGAACACGACAATTGTTTTTCAGTTTTATACCAGTTTGAAAACATAATAGATTGAACGTAACCTATAAAGTAAATATATCATGAAAATTCATTTAAAAACATTTTACATATGAAAATATCGTTTATTTATGTTAATTAAGAAGAAGGATGTTAAGCAAGTCTTACAAAAAGTGTTGAAGTTCTTAAAATCGATTTTAAACTTACTCTAATATACTTATAGGCCGTGTGCGAGTTTAAGTAAATTGAACTTAAATAAATTTAAATTTCCTAGGGATTTTTTGCACTGCACTTATGTATATATATATTTATTTATTTATTGCATTTATTTTTTATTTTTTGTTAAAAATTTTCAAATTTATTTATTAAACATCTTATAAAATTTTTGCAATGGTAACATCTAATTTACCTACTTTTTATCTAATTTACTCTACTCGAAATTCTGGTAAATACCAGCATTCGCTGCCATACCGACATAATTTACTATTTCCCTCAATTTACCATCAATTTATTCGAACTCGTACACGCCCATAATCTATTAATACAGCACAAGTAATCGTAATTTTAATTGTTCGCCATGTTCAACTTGTTTCGATCAAGAATCAAGCTTAAACTACAATCCGATTTCAAAAAAATGATTTAACTATAGTCCATATAAAATCAAATTGAAATTAAAACCGTAGCTAAGAGTAATATAATTGTGTAGCAATATTGTAAATAATTCTCATATTGTAAATCAAAACATAAAATATTACTGCAATATTTGACATTTGCATGTATGAGCATAACTTAAAAAACAGAAATGATAAACAAAATAAAATAAAATTTAAATTTGCTTTGTGGACAGGTTTTAGGAAAAACGTTCCAGACGAGCAAAACAGAAATCACAACTGCTTGTACAATTGAATTTTACATAAAACCACTTTTAACTTACTAAAATCAGATTAACTTCAATTTTAGTTAGAAACATTGCTTTCACACATTGAATAAATACTTTAGAAGTAGTTTTAAAGTATAAGTGTGCTAGCTCTCAACTGATAGCAATTCAAAAAGTATTTTTGTTTGCGCGAAAACGCTTTTAAAATTGATTATAAAATTTGTTTAGTTATAATAGATTTTTTGACCAGTTTAATATATCAATTAATTTTTTTTTTTAATTTTTTAAATTAAAAAAAATAATAATTTTAACGAATAATATAAATTTTTATATTATTAACCTTTTTTAAAAAGTAAATAAATATATTATAATTTTATTTATGTTAATAATTGTTTTGTTTTTATTTTTAATATCTAAACTATCACTATTCTTTAATAAATAATATTGTATGTATTTTATTAATTTGACATGCTATACATATACTAAATGGATGATAGTATGTTATTAACATATTATTTATTATATGTAATTTTTATTCTAATTCTTGTTTTGATGGAATAAAAAGTATTCCAATGCTTATATCTTACATAAAATTTACATTTCATTGCTAACACGAAACAGTTAGCACTAATAATACAATTAAAATTAAATTTTTATAGAACATCAACTCAGTTAGTTAACAGTGAAATAAGACATCAGAAAAGAAAAAGTAAGTGTCATCATTATTTAGGTGTTAAGGCCGTGTTCAAGAAAATTGATGACAAATTAAGAGAAACAGTAAATTACATCGGCATGACAGCGAATGTTGGTATTTACCAGAGTTTGAGTAGAGTAAATTAGATAAAAATTAGTTAAATTAGGTGTTTAAGTTGTTAGGTGTTAAAATTGTGAAAATTTTATAAGATGTTTAATAAATAAATAAATAAATTTGAAAACTTTTAACCACAAATAATAAATAAATGCAATAAATAAATATTCACATAAGTGCAGTGCCAAAAACCCCTAGAAAATTTAAATTTACTTTATCTCGATTTACTCAAACTCGCACACGGCTTAAGAACTATTATGGCTTTAAATTTTATTTAAAAAATTTTGATTTTTTTTCCAATACTTTATTAAATAAATCAGAAACAAATAATTAAGAATGTGTGAACGGGTACAATATTATATTGTCGTCATACAGCTTAATTTTATGATTAAATTTAATGTTTTTTGCAACATTTTTTTACCATTTTAGCACCTGTTACGTACACAGAATAGTGCGCAGACCATGTAGTTTTAACCCAATGCAAAATATGTGCGGGCCGCTTAAGAGTTGATGTTGGAGACAATATATTTCTACGTATAAAAGAATAGGAGAAATTGCCATTTCTATATTTTTAATTGTAGACATATTTAACTCTATGTAAAAAATATATAAGAAACGATTTTAATCCTTTTAATTCTTATATAATATTTAACATAAAAAGTAATTTACTTAAATAAGTTATGGGCTTAAAATCTTTAAAAATAAACAGCTACTAAACTCTATAAAATGTTATACTAAATGGCGATGTTTTTTTTTCTTGTTATGAGAATGCACTGCCAGAAATTTTTGAATATCAAATATTTTTATTTATATTAGCAATGTGGACAACAATTATATTAATTATGTCAAAGACATAAAATGTAACTAATGTAAAATATATTTAAGATGCTATCATTTAAATAATAGTTTCATAAAAGTATTAGTACAATAGACTTTAAATCGTTGTGGAAAATATATCACGTTTGCTGCATTGCGATCTATTGAAAATGTAAATTCTAAATTTATTTTAAATTAATTTGTTATTATTAAAAATATTTTAATCTAAAAAAAAACTATATATATTTATAATCCATCTATATATTTGATATAAAATAGTATACCCAGTATATCTGGGTATTTATTTCATTCATTTTAAAAGCGTTCTTTTTAATTATCATCTTTTCACAACACGTGCACGTCATTCATTTTCTGTGTCATCGAAGCTGTACGATAATTCATTACGATTGAAATGGAGCTGTATGGCATAAGTAACGTCTTCGAAGTAAGAGATAATAATTTTCTTTTTTAGAATTCATTTTATAATGTTCATCTGTATACATATGTATAAATAATACCGAGGTATGGATATTAATGTGTATTTAAATCTTATTTTATTTATGCCTTGACTGACCAAGTTCCTGGCGACCATCTCTGCATAGTCCTTAAAAGTTGTTGTTTAAAATATCTTACGTTTTAATATGGCTAATGCGCTGTCTCATCACCTCCAGTTAATTATAAACATAGGTTAATCGAAGTAATAAAATTATCAGGCAATTGCCATATTAAATCTTTACACATATCATTGTGTAAGTTTTAATTATAAAATCTTTGGTTAGTTTAACTAATCATTTAGATTAGGGCTGTGAAGTTTCCTTCTGAGATAAAAAGTTTTTAAAATTTTGGAAAATCTCATTAAATGGAAAATAAGTTTATTTCTAGACTTATCATATATAATAAGTGTTTAATAGACTTTATCCGTTGTTCTCATTGTAAACCGTGATGAAGTTATGACAATTGCGAAGCTCCCACTATGGACACGACAAGTTTATATTAATGTTTCAGTGGTTGAATATAAAGAAGAGAGAATGATTGAAAGAATTTAAAATAAATAATGAAAAAAGTATTAATTGTAGACACGACAAGACAAGAAAGCAATCCTTTTACTACATCATTGTCTTTGAAAATGAGTATTTATTACTTAAATAGGGTTTAGACTTAAATCAAGATAAGTTAATGAAGAAGGCATTGCTTGTAAAGAAGAGAAAGCGAAAATTAAACTCGTCGCTTTAGTAGGACTTAAACGTAAATCAATTAAAAATAAGTTTGTCTGTCCAATGGTATAATTAAATATATAAACAAAATGTGTTAGCTAAAGTAGTAAACAAAACATCAATATAAATTAAATAAAATCAGAATGTGATATTTTCAATTATGTTAAGATGGTTAATTAGGTCCTCCGTTTGCATTGCTCTGCAATGTGAAATCGAAATCTCCGCTAGGCAAACCAATGATAAGCGCAGAGTCTGTGTATGTAACAGAATTATATTTTATGTCAAATACATTAATTTAAAGACTTAATCTTTCAATTTATGCGATCTAAAATTAAACAAGACACCTCGTTGAGAAGTTAAAAATAACATTATAATCACACTCATCTCTACGAATGTAAATAAGAAAATATTCTCATTGTTAGTAATTTTTGCTATTTAATAATTTATTAAGGATATATATGGCTTGGTTTATGAAATCTACCTACAACAAAAGTAATCATTATTCCGTGCATTCGCCAACGCAACAGAAGTAAGGATTTTCAATTTTTTTTTCATTTAAATGTGTGGAACGTATGTTAACTACCCACAATGTAATAATGCTCTCAAGTCTGCGGTTGTATGCCAAAATTAACATAAAAAATAAAATAGCTAAATAAATAAATTATGAGTTTTTGTTTACATTAAAATCAAAGAAAAATCTTGAAAATATTGCATTTATTTATTATTTGTTTTTATTGAAACTGTGCTGTCCGCAGCAGAGTTAGATATCACAGCACTAATAACAGTTGCAATTTAACAGTCGCAGAAACAATGTTATTTTATTGTCAGCGGCTCTGCTAGTCAGAGCTGTTATTGTTCTTATTGCTGTTATTATTGTGAGTTTATTTTGAAAAGAAAAAAAAAAATACGTTACCGACATTATTTGAAAAAAATGTAAATATATTAAAAATAATTAAGTAATTCTTGTTGGCCCAACATTTGTTTTATTCGAAGCATTAGAATTTGTGTAATTTTGCATACAAATTGTTTTACTGTTAAATTTAATTTGCATTTGCTGAATCTGTAATTAATCTGTTATTAAACATAGTCTTCAAATGTTATTTTTTTTAATGTTAGTTTCTTTTAAATGTATTTAATTATTTCATTTATTTCTAGAAATAAAAACAAGCGTGAAAGATTTAGTTATTATTTATAATAAACATGTTCAAAAAGCGTTAAGTGTTGATAATTTGATAAAAAAAATATTTTACTTTTTAATGATGGTTGGATTATATCCACCCAGAGATGTGTCCATTCAAAAGGGGGTGCACTTGTTAACATATAATATAATAAAAAATATTGTAAGTAGTCTTACATACCATAAAAAAATAAACGGTGATGAAATAAGAAATATACAATTGTTTTCCTTAATAAATTGCTTATGTTGTGAAATATATGGTACATATGTCATCTTGCACCAATATGTTAAAGCCAAATATCATCCAACTCGAAATCTTTTAATTCATGCCACATTATTGAATACATTGAATAATAATATTTCAGTAGCATTCCCTATTGAAGGCAAGGTAAATATACCGCAGTTATATCTCCAGATCTTTAATCATTCCAAACTACAAATATTTATGAATGTAAATATGTTCACTGCAGATTGAATAATCACCTATAGAAGTTGGGAATTGAATCCAACTCAGACTGCAGATACTGCAGGGAATAGAGAGAAACGGCATACCATGTGCTTGGGGAGTGCCCGGCAGTGATGCATAAGCGAAAGAAACACCTAGGAGGGTATTTCATGGATCACAGGATTCAAGACTGGGGAAGATAGGATCCATACTGTCTTTCATTAAAGAAATCGGACTTGGAGAAATACTCTAAACCGACAAAGGGGCACAATAGATCTTTTAGGTCGCAGTGGACGATCCCTTACTCAATAATAATAATAATAATAATAAATATGTGTCTTGTGGATTCATGCTAGTCTTCATTCCAAATGTGACAGTGTTGTTTATTTATGAAGTCATTTATCTGGGAGACAGACGATGACTCGTATGGAATAATAAACCTCCACTTCCGCTTGTTGTAAAGCTCTATCTGTAAAATTTTTATTCTATACAATGAATAAATGAATTTGATACAATTTGAAATGGGATTCTTCAAAATAAATATTCTACGTAGTACCATAAGAAAGTACAAATTCTTAAAAACGAAATCAATTGATAGATCTTTAATCCTATCTGCACTTTGGTTCATGGCAACTATGTTTCTAGCAGTATTATTGGTAACCGAATTACCGAGAGTGTTTAAGTTTAAGCGATACTAATCAAAAGAATGACACTTTTTATGTTTTAATTAATTATGATATTTAAATTAATTATAATTTGTAAATCAACTTAAATGAAAATCATTTGGTTATAAGTCATGCCACTTATTATTTTTCATATTACATAGAATATTCTGAAATTTAAATTTTCAGCAATGAATTCAGCGCTTCTTTACAGCGACTGTGGTACTTGAATCCTTCTGTAAATGAAGAAATAAATTGTGGATCCTGTTTTCTTACAAGCGGTGGCGTTTATTTAAAAGCACAGTATTTATTACTATTTAAATTTATTTGCATTTATGTTTAAGAGACAGGCATCGAAGAGTAGTGAATTGCAATAACAAAATTTTATTAATTTCAATTAATTGAATTTTTGGCTGACTATATAGTTGATTCGAATATTGCCTAATAGCCTTCATTAACAGTCTATTAGGAATTATTTCTTATGCGTGCCAATAATCTTTTCGGAGACTCCACATACAAAGAAATGTCAGTCATATTTGAAGCTCAGATCGTCTTAATTAGCTTAATTAATTATATCTAATTAAGTATCTTGGGTACTGACTGTTAAGCCTATTGCAACACACAAGAGGAAATCATATTTAATTCGTATTGCATCCACACAAAATTACACTAATGACATTCACTGGACGAAGTTAAAGAAAACATATTTTAATCTTCAAAAAATCATTTCTTTTTAAAACTTTTAACAACAAAATTCGTTTTACATTTTTTACAAAAATAAAAACTCAAACAAAATCAATGGAATTCACATTTTGCAATGCAATGAAATATCCATTTCATTGTGGTTTACCCTGTGGTTCGTCATCTTTTTGATCTTCAGTTACTGGTGCTGGCGCGGCTGTGGAGGAGCCATTGTCTTTGGCTGTACGCAACTCCACCACATCGGAGTCATCATTTTCTGGTTGATTGGAGTCATTAGTAGGTTCGGATTGTGGTATTTCGTATTGTGGATAAGGCGGGAATTGTTGGTCCTCTGGGTATTGTGGTTGTTCTTCTTCTTTGATTTCTTGCAACTGTTCCTGTTGTTGCTGCTGCTCTGGATACTCAATTGGTGCTGGTTCTGCTTCGGGTTGTTGTGGAACTTCAACTGGTTGTTGTACTTCAAGTTCTTGTTGTGGTTGCGCGCTTACAAATTCTTCCTGAACAGGCTGTACCTCAACTGTTTGCTGTTGCACTGGGGCTTGTGGCAAGTATTGTAAGTTTTGTTGCACCGGCAAATGTTGTATATGTTGGACTGGAATAGCAGGTGCAGCGGCAACGGGGGTCAATTTAGCAACAATTGGTTCTCTTTGAACAACAGCATTAAAACCATTGACATCATCGGCGGTGTAGGTGACTGTGCGCTTGAACCCATCAGCATCGACTACGCTATATGAACCAGCAACGTTTCCACCACTGCGTGTTTCCACTTGGTGCTTGATATCGCCTGTGATGCTGTCATGTACGCCATACGAGAAATCGTAGCGTGGTGCAGCGGCATATTCGACATTCTTTAGTACTGGTACAGTAGCGATAGCGGGTGCTGGTGCAGACGAAACGACGGTTTTAGTTACTACTGGTGAAACAGTTTGCACAGTTGCTACTGGTGCAACGCCATAAGACTTTACGACTGGTGCTGCTAGTGGTGAGGTTTTGACGTACGAAGCTGGTGCTAAATAGGCGGTTTTAGCAAAGACTGGCGCTGCTGGTAGAACCGTTTTGGTGATAAGTGGTGCCGTTTGCTGGTATACAATTGGTTGGTGGTGATAGACTGGTGTATGGCTGGCATAAGTTACAGCCGCTGAGGAGGCGTAAGGATTGTATGCGTATGAGGCTATTCCAGCCATGCAGCTTCCGGCTAAAGCCAAAATGCTGAGCACACCAATGAACTGAAAATAGCAACCAAAAAAGGATAAAAAAAAAAAAGAGAAAATATTTAAATAATTGAAATTAAATTAATTAAATTAAAATTCCAATAAAATTAAAATTGCTTTGTGCAAAAATAATAGTCAAGTATTCGCTATAATTTGGTATGTAATGTCACCACTCCAACCTCACCTAACTATCTGCTGTATTTCAAAAATGTTGCTCCAAATAAGAGCAATGGAAATTATGAAGAAATTGAATAATAGTAGTCAAACGAATTTAAGAATTCCGCCGTTGAAGTCGACATTTTCATTATTCTAGCGAACATCCCAAATATTGATTCTACAAAAATAATATTCCTTATCAAGCGCAATGATTGGTTTCAAAACTCTTGCGATTTCACAGTCCTAACTGAAATCTCAATACTGACTCAATACTGAATTTATACTTAAGTCAGTTTTAATATGTCACTAAAACGAACTAATCATCAGTAACGCATGAAGGTACCTTATCGTCATGCCAAGATACTGACACTGTAAAAATCTACAAGGAACATCAAACCCATTAGAAGATCAAATACCATATTGAATATTTTTGCTGTCATTAATAATAAAGCTAAAGACAACTCCGATGACGATTTGCAGTAGATTGTGACTGTTTTATACACTTCAAGCAATTAAAGTAGAGACAATTGATTCTAACTTGATCATTAAATAATATTTTCCTATGTGACCCAAAACTCTACTTAAGCTAATGCTGTCAATAGAAATATAATTCCTAAGTAACTCGTCATGGAGCCTGCGTATTATAAAGAAAGTTGATCTCTTTAAAATTTTTTATTAAAACATTTTTAGTAAATTATGCCATAGTAAACTATGCCGAAGCCCTGTTAAACAGACGTTTTCATTAATGGTCATATCTCTTAACTCCACAACTTTTCAAGTCCTAAGTTTTAATTTTGTATACGATATATATTCTTTCAAATGGGCGTTCGTTTCTATCGTACAGCGTTACTAGTCCCTTTTAAGTAATCTTTCCTTGTACATCAATAATTCGAACATTAAGATCAACATGTACGGTTTAAGTAACAAGTACGCTATGAATATATAATATATACAGATAGTGTGTATGTTCAACTGGATTAGTTGAAATATATGATAACGAAGATAATGAGGAATACTTAAATTAGTCATTAGTCAGTTAGTTAGATGGGTGGAACTCTGCAGAAGCCCCCTATCAATCATAGAGTAAAAGTACCCAGATGCACTAACTCGGAAAAGACTCAACATAAGATAAGATACTTCAACCATAGCATAAAATAATTCTTATGCATTTAGGATCAAAATGCGATTATTTTTCCTTCTAACTGAAGATCTAATGATATGAATTTGATGCAGAGTGAAGAATTGGGAATGAAGATTCAAATAAAGTATTTTAGGCTACTTAAAATTCTCTTCCAATAAATGAAGTGAACGTTGAGTTGCTTAAGCATATGAGCAGTGGTAAATGTCGACTCTCATCTAAAGGATGGATATTCTTGACCAATGTGAAGTAGATTATTATTTGCTTTACTTTGGTTGAAATGCATATAGGATGATGTCTACTTTTCCCATTCAACTGAAATTGACTTTAAAATGTACTGTTAGTACCGATGCTTTTTAAGTAATTAAACCAAACTAAACTGAACTATCTACTCCAACCACAAATCATTTCCTATTGAAGGTGTTGTCAAATAGTAAACAAAAAATTACTTCCGTTCAATTTGATTTAGTTTTCAGAGGAGATATTATTTGCACATATTTTCCATTTAAATTAAATTAATTAATCAAAAGTTAAACGCATTAGCATGTTTTTTTTCTTGTTTTTAACGCATTAGCATGTCACGGATAGGTTTTGATGAGCTGGGTTTCACATAATTTCTCATTTGTGTTTATCTTTCTGCAATAAATTATTTGCACAACTATTTACATGGCATGTCCTTGCCATCCTGCTGGGTTTTACGGTCGAAATGAAAAAATCACGGCCAAATGTTAATTTGTCAAATGTAACGAATTATTTGCATACGAGATCAGGAAAAATATTTTATCACGAGCGGGCGAGTCACTTACTTTGCTTGCCATTCTGTCTGTTTTTAAATGTTTTTAAATGTTTTTCAAGTTTTTTGTTTTTCGAATAAAGAGTCGAAGCACGCGCCACACTTTAAAGTCCGCGTTACAATATCTTTAAGCGATTTTTTTTATTTTGAAAGAATACTGCAAACCCAAATTGAATTCCAATTCGGCGCTTCGCTTGGCTGTTACTATGACACTGCACTACTGGCAACTGATGCTGTCAACATGAGGTGTCAACAATTTTATACTCTGCCAACAGAACCAACGAAATGATCAAGAAACTACCGAAATTGCCGAAACTACCGAAACTACCGAAACCACCGAAACTACCGAAACTACCGAAACCACCGAAACTACCGAAAATACAGACAAAAAGCCGAAGCTGAGGAAGAATTGGCAGAAGGAGCTCAACCAACCGTCAGCTTAAAAACGTACACATACTCGATCATATGCAGACACGGAATTGGTGGTACAAAACCGGATGGCATGTGCCTCGCTAAGCAAGTAGTAAACCACAGAAATATAACCACGATGGTGCCAAAACAAACGAAAAAAAAAACTGCCGAAATAATGTCGAGCACGCTATGCGACCCTTCACAACGCATGTTAATACCTTCGTTAATATATTCCACTAAAACATTTCACCCATCTATGTAACCTATGAACGAGTATTTAATGGATCAATAAATAGATTAAGTCTGCCTAACTGTTTCAAACTGGTTTAGCTAAGTACTTAGGCTCTGTTAAGCTAAAGCACTTTTTTTTAAGTCAGAGCCTAACACTGGTCGACAAAATATAAACTGAAAGTTATTAACAGGAAATTTACTTCATCTTGAAGGTGAAGTAGTGTACCAGTCCTTTTGATAATGTTGCGCCATATACCCACTATAAAATTATCTTCAATATAAAAATTTTGGACGGAAACTATAATTTTGAAAGCAAAAGAGATGAATTTTCGGTTCTGTCAGGTGATATAAAGTGAAAAAAAACACTTCAAATTTCTATAATTTCAACAATGTTAAGAAGATAAAGACAGAGATCTATTGATTGTTGGCCCTTTGCAATATATGTATAAGGTACACCTTATCTATTGTGATACCGTAAAAGAGTTAGCTTCCTGTCATACATGTGCTGAGTAAAAAGTAGGCAGAAGTGAGGCGCTTACATCATTCTCTTTAAAACTGCGACAGAAATGATTAAATATGATATCTCTACGACATCTCAGTGAGAGTATTGTATTTTTTTTGAAGAGAAAGTCGCCGACATACATAGAATGCGTATATATCGTTGAATCTTTTATTAAAAAGTTCAGCACAGAAATAACCTAGCAACAGTTTGCATGATGTCCTCGATATGCCCTGAAACACCTCGTTTGGCTAGCTATCCCTGAAATAAAGAGGGACCTCCCTACAGCCATATATCTCTTGACACTAAATTTCCTGTCGAAATTAAGAATGGGAAGGATGTAGTTAATGTTATTTAGTAGTAGTAGAACTGAAACGGTTTAGAATGGATCCCTCCTTCCCTCCTGCAATATTTTTTTTTTATTTAAAAGGTGCATTAAAGTTAGCACATTGACCCAAGTGACCCTTTAAAACTGGAACACATCCTATTAATTCTGTAAACAACTCTGACCACCGGTCGTGCCTTTCAATAATTCTGCTTTGCTTCAAATGCTCACTCATTCGATGCATTTCGATATCTGTCAAGTTCTCTTTGATCTTTCATTACAATAGTGGCTATTTCTGATACTGCTCGAACTTAGTGTATGTCCAATGAGGTTATCAGCCGTACGGCGTTATTTCTGCCACGTTTAAATTATACGTGATTTACATCCTTAACAATGTTGTTTCTGTAATATGGACACTTATGCAAATTATATGCGAATCTGTGTAAGTATGACTTAAAGCATCCATGTTCCTCTGGCTGTGTGTCTAAAACAATCTGTTACTAATCTAAAATAAACTTATTTAAAATTGTATACTGTTTCTTCTGCGAAAGTATGCAGTATAATGACTATCTCGTTTATACAACAGGGTCTCTTCGAAATATATATGTACTCACAAGACAAGGTACTATAAACACAGCGGTTGCTGTAAGTGCTGTATGGAATCCGAATGAGATTCCTTGTAAGTCTAAACGGTAGGTCATTACATTTCACAGATTTTACCTAAACTTATCAGAGAAGGAGGTGGTATTGCATTTATGTTGAGCTAATTCGACTACAATTGAATACGATCTACACTGACATTTTGGATACGAAAGCAATCCAAAATGTGGTGTCGGTGAGAGGCCAAGGGTCTATGCGTAGCATTTGGTATATAACAGCTCATCTCAATTGTTACATGAAGTATGCCAATTAGTGAAAGTATTATAGGAAACTCGAACGAATTGAAACAGTCTACCCAATAATAAGCAACTTTATGTAGTCTGCATGTACTTCTTTTTTATGAATTATTATTCAGAGTCCATATCCCAAAAATACAGATAATGAATAAATCTAAATAGATTAAGCAACTGAAAAATATGCTTCTCAAATTTTTTGAAAGTCTTTTTTGTTTTTATGCTGGTCAAAAATCTTGTTGACTGGTGTCTGGGATTTATTTATTTTAATTAAAGTGACAACTATTTGAATTCTTCGATTATTTTGAGTGATTTTGAATCACTTTGACAATTGAACTCCCCGAAACGAACCCAACCGGTTGTTGGTTTTGTTAAATTCATGCTAATCGGCTTAACTGTGAACTTTTTTCCATGTTTCAACAGATTTCATTGATTTGAAAAAAGCCAGCAAGCAATGGCTTTATGCCTTTTGGCGGCTTTTTGCATCATTTTTCCGTAGGTCTAAGACTATTTAAAATTTTTTGATAAAATAAAAGCAAGAATTTCTTTTGTTGAACCGATCCGCTGATATCGATCAACAATATTTAATTGCCTATATCGAGACGTAAGCGACATTTGTGCGTACCCGTAACATTGTTTTCCGCGTCCAAGTCGCTGAGTCGCGGAGTCGCGGAATCGCAGAGTCGGAAACAATGCAGAAATTACATCATTTGTTTAACTTTGCCAAATTGTTATTGCCAAATAGCGAAAAAAGTTAAAAATTATTTTTAAATTTTATATCGTAAATAATTGTTTATTTTTCGGATCTACTCTATTTTTGCGTTATGTTTTTAATTGAAAAAGTTGGGCGTTTTGCATTCGGTACGGTGCCGTGCGAAGCGGTGCGGTGGCGGCTCGTTTCGTTTCGTTGTTGCTATCACGGATTATCGACTCTGGCGTTTGACATTGACTTCGACTGAGATGATGACGGTCCATAATTTGATGTTATTGTCACTGTGATTGTTATTGTTGTTAATGTAATTGCTTGTTGCCTCACAGCTTTTCGAATTCAACTTGAGGCTGTCAACACAGCAATGAATGCGGGAATCCATGAACTGGAAATGCCACAATTTTTACGATTGAAGCCGAAGTGTTCCAAGTGTTGGAAGAAAATGAAGTTTGTTTCTGCTTGAACTCTCAAATTTTCTCTAATCATTATTACTACAATGAAAAGTTATAAAAATGAATTTTTGCAATATTTTCACGCCTAAATTTGTTCATTTGTTGTTTTGTTCGAATTTCAGGCAAATTGAAAGTAAAAGGAACGTTAAAAAACATGATTGCCAATGGCCAATCTCACACTAGATTTCACATCTAAGTGACTCATTTGATTCACTTAAGAAACAAGGGGGATATACCGAATATCCGGGCATCGCAATTTGACGATGGATTTTGGTGAATTTCATTATTTTGAGTATCTTTATTTAATACGGCACATTTTGATGTACACATATATAGCTTACTTCTCGAAATATCCAGCTTTATGATCACAAATCTTACATAAAAACTCCGATCAGCAACTAAACGCGCCATCCGTTAATCAGATAGTGTGTAATGAATGAAAAAACTGCCATGACTTATGAACTTTGGCTCTCTAAAAAAAGTGAACTTACTCCCAAAGTTAATAGAAAATGCCTGCTTTTAAGGTAGTCATGCATGCCTATTTCGCAAACATAGTCACCGCAACTCCTTTCAGAGTTCTCAACAAGATCATATTATTTACTTTGGAAAGTACTACTTCTGCAAAACGTTATTAGTGGTAAAATACAATCAATGCTGGTATTGTTGTTTTTTTATAAGTACAATAGAATGATTTTGCACTGCGATCCATAGATATTATCCGCTCCCTACAAATTGTAGTATTGAACCTGATTTAACGAATCTTCATTTTTTATCCAATATAATTTCTCCGTCTAAGTATTTGTTTCATTTTTGCATTAATGCCGTATAAAATCTCAGTAATTCTATGCTTCATTACTTTCTACAAAATCTGTAAGTTCCATTAGAATAAGGTCCCAGTTTTCTAAGGGGATAATCAAACCTACAGTGCTGTATTAGAATTACTGTAATGATCTTTAAGTTATTTTTATTTAATTTTATGCAGTTCCGGAATGACTTAAGGCTAAAATGCATGGTAGATTATTTCGGTAAAGTTTCAGCTAGTTATATATACGAGAAATAACTCAATTTTGAAATAAACCAATACAATTATTAACATCATCATTACCTTATATTATATCTACTAATTTTTATATAAACGTAATTAAAAGAAAACAGTGAGGCTAAATGGCAAGACAATTTAAATCCATAAAGAATCCATCAAGAAGAATCATTCCAGATAATGGAATTATGCTAAATTTGTAATGAGTCCTTATTATTGGTTTAAGATTCGATTAGACATATTTTTGACATTTTTCTACTCTCAATTAAAAGGCCACCGGGCGAACAAACTTCTGACTTCTGATTGCAGGTTATAAAAAATAAAATAAAAGTAGGTTATGTTTTCTTCTTTTATACAAAGGATGGTCAAGTTTATGGAATGGATGCAAAACATGATGCAGTCTATGATACAAAGTATGGTTCAGAATCAAGCACTCATTTCTAGACTACTGAGAGTGGACTGAACA